GACTGGGGGGCCCGAGGGTCCCCGGGAGCGTCACCCCCGGAGAGGCAGCGCCGCTGCCTCCGCAGTCCCCCGGGCACGTCTCCCCTCCCAGCACAGTTAATCCAGACCCCAGCTAATCCTCTCGCGGGTCACTGGGAGCTCATTGCATTTTGTTCACTTCTCAAATGCATCTAGAATTAATTAAAAAAAAAAACCCAACAGTGAATTCATCCTGTGGCAAAAGCATTCAGCATATTCCCCTGGGGCGAGTCGGAGGGGTGATGGAGAAGCAGCCTTTTCTGGCTCCAAATGCTCAGCTCTCATTCGAAAAGGAGGAGAGAGGTTAATGAATGCAGCCGGGGTGGTCAGGAGGAAGACTTGGGACAAGCCACCGGGCTGGCGTTTGGCAGCGTGAGCCTGCAGCCGGCCTCACACATCAGCTCTGCAAGGCCACTTTGGTCCCATTTGACTTGCAGTGACTATGAGGTTGTAAAAATTCACCATCAATATCAACTGTTCATGCCTGTTTCACCCTTCCCTGTGGCTGTAAGGAGGGAGAGGCTCTCATGCTGACTGTCCCAGCCGGGTGCGTGCGATCGCTTGGTCTGCCGACACACCGACAAACAACCGCGGTGCTTGAAAAATCGGCTTTGGGGATCAAAAGTGGTTGTGCCTGGATTGCAGCAGGTGGAAATACGTTGTTCGGCGTATAAGATGGTGGCACATGTGTGTCCAGCACCTGGGAGGTTTGGGCAGGTTGTTAGTGTTCCTGCTTGTGGTGCTGGGTTTCTGCAGGGATTCTCAAATCCCAAGCTGGATTTGGGAAGAATTTCGGTAAAAGGCAAATCCAGGCTATCGCTGCTAGCCGGGTTGATGCAGCCCCAGGCAAGCTGTGCCTGGCAATGCTCCCCGGTGCTGGTGCTGGTGCTGGGCTGGCCCTGGCCACCGTGTAATGGAAAGGGTGTGCTTGTCCCAGCGTGTCCCCGGGGAACTCGAGCTGATTGCAGGCATCGACTGCATCGACCGCAGCGGGTCTGACACACCACGTACAGCCCGGCGGGTTCGCCTGCGCTTCTAGGTATGAGCCAGGCACCTCTGTCCTGGGGGAATGGGGGTGTCGTGGGGGGGATCTGCACCCACTCCCCCACCACGCTGCTGCCCCATGCATGTCTCAGTGCCAGCAAGGTGGTTTTGTCCCCAGTGACACATCCCGTGTCACTAAATAACAGGACAAGCTGCGGCAGCGGGTGGTTTGGGGAGTGTTCCCGCAGTGCCATCTCTTTAGGGTGCTTGGGATGTGCCACATGGCTTCTCCACAATCTTGTCCACTGCCTGACGCAGCCTCACGTGTCATCGCAGAGGGGTTGGGGGGACCAGCAACGTGGCAGGGTGCCACTGGTGTCCCCCACCATGGGCTTACCTGCGCCAGGGAGCCCACCCGGCTTGGACCACCTCTCCCATGTCCATACCACCTCTCTCCCGAGCAAAGCTGAACATAGGTCCCTGACCCTACAGCTGAGCCCTTCAGAAGGGATCAAAACAGCTCCTTGTTCCCCAGTGGCAGTTGTCCCTTCATAAGACTTGGCCAGCAAAATCCATCTGTGACCGTAGATGGCTCCATGTCCCAATGAATGCGTTGGGAAAGTTGCTCCTTGGGACATCTGCCCCGAGCGAGTGCCTTCCCGGGGCCTTCTCCAACCGGCTGTGCGTTGGCCGTGTCCTCTCCCATCCCCGGACTGGGGAGCAGAGGTTAAATCCACATCTCCTTGTGGTTTCCCTCGACCTCAGAAGAGCTGGTGCTCAGGAGGTCGGGCAAGTGCTGCTGCGATGTGCTGGGCAGTGGTCCATCTGGCACGGGCAATGTGAACCGCTTTCAGGCGTACCTTTATTAATATCTCTGTGCTAAGGGGAGCAGCCTGGCCTCTCCGCTTTCCTCTCCAGCAGCCTGACCCTGCTCCAACAGCAGAGTTCCTGAGAAAAGCAAAGGGGAGAGACTCCAGTGCTGCCCAATGTTTTTCAACCGCTGGTGTCGTTGAGGGCTCCACAAATGCCGTATGCCCCCAGCAAGGTTTGCTCACTTGCTTTGTAGTAAGGAGGAACAAACTCTAAGATCTTCTTCCTTCCTCCCATGTGTTTTTTGGGACCAGCCTAGCCATGGAAGGGAGAGTTCAGGCAGTGTGGGGGGGTCCTCGCTCAACATGCAGCCACCCACCCCATCAGACTCATGGCCAAACACCCCCTCGGGTCCCTTTGCCATCAGAGGTAATGGCTGTGTCTTTGTTTTCTCATTGCAGAGCCTCTCACGGGATCCGCGTGGTGACGTGGCAGCCAAGACGTGGAAGCTTGGGACTTCTCTTCCGCCACAACAGAATTTGGGGGGTGGGCAGGGGTGGGTCAGGGGGACACCGGGAGTCGCAAGACCCTTCACCTTCACTGTGAGCTTGGCTCAGGGATGACTGCAGGCAGAGTCAACCCTTACAGCATCGTGTCCTCCGAGGAAGACGGGCTGAGGTTGACCACCATGCCAGGTATCAACGGCTTTGGCAATGGGAAAATCCACACCAGGAGGAAATGCAGGAACAGGTTTGTAAAGAAGAACGGTCAGTGCAACGTGGAGTTCACCAACATGGATGACAAGCCGCAGAGGTACATCGCAGACATGTTCACCACGTGCGTTGACATCCGCTGGAGGTATATGCTCTTGCTCTTTTCCCTGGCATTTCTGGTGTCCTGGTTATTGTTTGGGCTGATTTTCTGGCTAATTGCACTCATTCACGGAGACCTAGAAAACCCCGGTGGAGACGATACCTTCAAGCCTTGCGTTCTGCAGGTCAATGGCTTTGTGGCTGCTTTTCTGTTCTCCATCGAGACCCAAACGACTATTGGTTACGGCTTCCGCTGCGTGACGGAGGAGTGCCCGCTCGCAGTCTTCATGGTGGTGGTTCAGTCCATCGTGGGGTGTATAATTGACTCTTTCATGATTGGTGCAATAATGGCAAAGATGGCCAGGCCCAAAAAACGGGCCCAGACACTACTTTTCAGCCATAATGCAGTAGTGGCAATGAGAGATGGGAAACTCTGCCTGATGTGGAGAGTTGGAAACCTCCGGAAAAGCCACATAGTAGAAGCCCACGTACGAGCTCAGCTAATTAAGCCCAGGATCACAGAAGAAGGGGAGTACATACCGCTCGACCAAATAGACATCGACGTGGGGTTTGATAAAGGCTTGGACCGTATCTTCTTGGTGTCTCCTATCACCATTCTCCACGAGATCAACGAAGACAGCCCCTTGTTTGGGATCAGCCGCCAGGACTTGGAGACAGATGACTTTGAGATCGTGGTCATCCTGGAAGGCATGGTAGAAGCCACCGCTATGACCACGCAAGCTCGGAGCTCCTACCTGGCCAGCGAGATCCTCTGGGGCCACCGCTTCGAGCCCGTCTTGTTCGAGGAGAAAAACCAGTACAAAGTAGACTATTCCCACTTCCACAAAACCTACGAGGTCCCATCCACCCCCCGTTGCAGCGCCAAGGACTTGGTGGAGAACAAATTCCT